AAGGCCCCCCCCCCCCCCACGCGACATCCTCATCGGCTACAGAGGCCAGTAATCTGGGCTCTGCACCTAGCTGGCGGGAAGGTGCCTGTGATAGGCGGATGGGTGGAACGATAAACAGCGAGAGCAAGACGGGCGAACTGCACATGCAGTTAAAACAATACAGCTGAACAGCTGGAAGAAGGAAATCATGGAGACAGCCATCGAGAACGAAGTAGGAAAGGGGATCAGGTGGAGGACTGCGACGGGATACAGGGATCGGCCACGAGAAATGCTTTCAGGAGCGTTTGGACGGAGAGAAGGAGGAAAGGAGGACGAGCAGGAGGAAGAGATCAATGAGGATGATAGGGAGGAGGAGGAGGACGAGGAGGAGGGCGATGGGACGAGGATAAGCAAGATGGTGATGAGGACGAGGAGGGGGAGGACGAGGACCAGGGGGAGGAAGAGGACGAGGGGGAGAACGAGGAGAAGGAAGGAACGAATGAGCCACCTCTGCGGACAGGCGTCAATGGAATAGGACGTGGAGGGGATGGAGGTGGAGGCGATGGAGATTGAGATGGAGAGTGATGAGGATGCCGATGAGAAGTAAGAGGCCTAGACGGGAGTCTAATGTGAGGAGGGAGAGGAAGAAGAGAAGGATTATTATACTGATGACGACGATGCTGATGACAATGACGATGACGATGCTGCTGATGATGATGGCGATGCTGACTATGATGATGCTGATGATGCTGACGATGATGCAGCTGATAATGCTGCTGCTGATGATGCTGTTGATGATGATGATGCTGATGCTGATGCTGCTGCTGCTGATGATGATGATGATGATGATGATGATGCTGCTTCTTGTGATTACGTTAAGGCTGACGAGGAGGAGGATGAGGAGGAGGCGTCAATGTAACACTGCCGCCGCGGACAACAACACGGGCCTTGCCAAGACCAGGCGGGCGATGCCGTGGCCTCCAGAGCATGAGCACGAGGAGGAGCACGAGGGGAAGAAGGACAAGAAGGACAAGGAGGAGGAGGACAAGGAGAAGAAGGACAAGGAGAAGAAGGACAAGAAGGACGAGGAGAAGCACGACAAGAAGGACAAGGAGGACAAGGAGGAGGAGGCATGGCACGGCATGGACTGGGGCGCTCCGAGGTCCGCCTGCCGCCGCGGCGGCGCGCGCGAGCGGGAGTGGCGACGAGGAGCCCGAGGGTCCCAGACAGGTGCACCCCGGCAACGGCCCTCCTGGGAGGGGAAGGCCGTGGAGGAGGAGGAGGAGGAGGAGGAGGAGGAGGAGGAGGAGGAGGAGGAGGAGGAGGAGGAGGAGGAGGAGGAGGAGGAGGAGAGGGAGGAGGACGCCTGGGAAGAGGAGGAGCGCCAGGGGGCCGAACTTCTCGAGTTGTGCGTGTCTTCCTTGCGCTGGGGGCATGCGACTCTTCTCTGCATCGTTCCAACTGTAACGGATGACCCCCGAAGGGAATCCGCCGAGAGGAGGAGGAGGAGCGACAGGAAGAGGAAGACGACGACAAAGGGCGGGGACGAGGGAACGCACGCCGGAGCGTGATCGAGCACCGGTGCAGGGCTGCGGGCGCGAAGAGGCGAGCCCTGCTGGCGCCCGCCTTAGGGTGAGGGCGCAGTGTGGCGCAATTCCAACAGAAAAAAATGCAATGGATCCCGTTCCTCCTCCCCGTCCTTCTCCACCCCCTCCGCGTCCACCTCCTGCTCCTCCTTTTCCTCCTCCCCCTTTCCGCCCCCTCCTTCTCCCCCTCATTCTCCCTTCTCCCTCCTCCTCTTTCCGTGCTCCTCCTCCCCATCCTCGTCCTCCCCCTTCCCCATCTTCTCCCCCTTCCCCATCTTCTCCCCCTCCCATTCCTTCACCCTCCCCCCTCCTTCTCCCGCTCGTGCTCCTCCTTCTCCTCCCTACCTCCCTGCTCCGGGGGCTCAACCACGGTCGCTGCCTGACCACCTATCTCTGTCTCGAGCTGGGTTTCGCAGCCCCTGCGATCAGCCTACCTATGCGCCAGGCCAAGACGTGGCTCCAATTTTTGAGTAGGGACCGACCGTCCCGGCATTCCTATAGTCATACCACGAAATGTTCTTAGAACCCAAAAATGTTCTAAGAACATAAACAACGTTCTTAGAACATAAACCCGATGTGATAAAGCAAGACAGCCCCCCCAGACATGTTCTAAGAACATCTCGTGGAAACCACAAACAGTTCTCAGAACATTGTTTGGTAGTGCTCTAGGCGAGCCGGGACGCTTCGCCACTGCTTGAGGTTTGCCGCGGACACGTCCCGAGCGCCTCAGGCGCATGCCCCGGCCTTCTGCGCTCGTGGCCTCTCGTGGCCCGTCGGGTGCTCGGTCTTTCTCGCCCCCGCTCCGTTTGTTCGGGGGTCCGAGGGCCCCTCTCGGCCTTCGCGACGCCGCCCTCGGGGCGGGAGGGACGTGTGCCTAGTGAGCCAGTGGCCGTTATGAATGGGCCCTCGCCCTCGACAGGAAAGGGGGGGCCCAGTCCTGCCGTCTGCAGATGCCGCCATCGATTCTGAGTCTTTCCTCGACGCTCTTCGCGAGTCGCTGTGTGCACAGCGGTGGCGCGGGGCCAACAATCATCATAACGGGGCTGGTTTGGAGGATGGGGCGGAGCGGCGTCTTTCTCGATAAGCTCATCAAGTCGTCGTTGGCCACGGCCCCGAAGTATCATCGGGGCAACCACCTCTGTGTTTTGCGACAGTTCCTGGACCCGTGATAGACTCACCCAGGCTGGCCTGATCTCACCTGAAGGGATTGTACCAGGCGCGACCTTGGGGTCCCTGAGATTGACCTCCATCGCGTTTGGCACTGCCCGGGAAGCTGCCGCATCCCAGAGTGCAAGACGTCAGACCACCTCTGTGAGCGAGCTGTCCAAGAGGCGGAGGCCACCACATGTTTCTGGCTGAGGGGTAGGATCCGCCGATGTTGGACGGCTCTTCCCGGCCCGCCTTAAGATCTGGCTTCTTTCGACTGGTCACACGGCCTCGGGCAACCCACCCATCCCCCACGGAGCGATTGGTGGGGGGCAGGCGATGGAACGGGGGACCCATCAGCAGCGACCCCCGCGTCCGTCGCTGCGGTACCCGTGCTGCGAATCTTGCCATACCAGATCTTTGGCGGTTCGGCAACGATCATGCCGAAAAGATAGCAGAGATGGCAGCGATGCGTTGCCAGCACGCCCCCGCTGACACGGAGCGCGTCGCCCACGTGGAGGCCCAAGCCGCACTCGTTTGGCACCGTCTGGCTGTGCTGTGCCGAGGTTGACGTGCGCCTGAGGGCCCGCAGGGCACAGACTCCGCCACCCCGGCCCCGTCTCACAGGCCTCCAGCGGGCCATGTTACCCGTCGGTCGGAAGAAGTGCGCAGACACTTTTTGGTCGGCGGGGCGAGAGCGGGCCTCTTCCGGTTAAGAGCTAGGCGGGGCGCGCAAAACACTAATTGGGGAGACAGGGCGCGGGCGGGCGGGGCCTCAGAAGTGCGCAGACACATGAAGCAGGATGGCGTTGGAAGCAGATCGGGCTGCCGCCGCCCTCTTGAAGAGGAGGGGAGAGGGAAACCACTCGATCATTGAAGCAGGAAGGCGCCCAACGTAGACTGGGGTCCGACAATCCGAACAGACCTACTGCCATCGACCGACGTGCAGTGCCGTGCAGCCTCGGACAGCACCGTCAGAGTGCGTGAAGGGCGTCCCAGGGCTCCCGGAGGCGGTGTCGCGCGGATCGTCTGTCCGGGACGGGGGGGCCGCAGGGAGGTCAAGGCCCGGCTGGCCCCCCCCGCGCTTGGGGCGGGGGCAGTCTCCAGGCCCGTCGCCCGCAGGCCCACCGGACCCTTGCAAGTGGGCACCAGGCGGCCACCTCAGAACCACCATGTCGAGGCCCAACCCGTGATCCCAGTTCTCGGCTGCCCAGGCTGCGGCATGCTTGCCGCCAGAGGGGGCTGTGTGCTGAGGGGCTCGGCCTGGAAGTGTAGGCCCCTCGAGGAAGCTGGCCGCCATAACCTGAATGAGATTGCTCGTTGGGCCTGGCCCGCCCGCACGGCAGCTGCGGAGGCATGTTATTGAAGGGGCCCAAGGACACACAAATAAATACACACAAATAAACCTATTGCCATATTTTCATATTTTCCCATATTTCTTGGGGGTCGACGATTAATTGTGTCTGTGTGTTTTTTCCCCTCCTGAATGCTATGCCGCCAGCGGGCTGCTCGGGCGGAGGCGCCCACGGGGTGCATCGCCGGCAGCCCCAGGGTGCGCGGGTGAGCTGAGCACCCGGGCCCAGGAGCCGCCCCGTCGTCCGTCGCCCCATCCTTGCTGTCGTGTCGCTGTCGTTGTCGTTGGTCATTGACTCCGCTCTCTGCGGCTGCGCGCGCTCCTCCTCCTCCTCCTCCTCCTCCTCCTCCTCCGCCTCCTCCTCCTCCTCCTCCTCCTCCTCCTCCTCCGCCTCCTGTTACTCCTCCTCTTCCCTCATTCTCCCCCTTGCCCCCTCGAGGCAAACCTCACAAGCTAAGAAACAGGACGAGTTCGCACGGAGCGTCCTGGAGCGCCCTGGATCGGCGGAACAGGCCAGAGGTCACTGCAATAAGGGATGCCCCGTGGGGAGCCCGCTGGCAGGCCCGCTTCTTAAGCAAGTGGCTTACGCTATTCCGCCGACCCCCCAGAAGGAGCCAGAGCTTGCGACGATCGTGGCAGTTCTCTAGTGGCCTTCGGCCCAATCCGCCACCGTGCCTGGGCCGTGGCTCGGGAGCCCCCTGGAATGCACACGAGGGCCTCTTGGGGGATGCCTCCCAGGGGGCCTCTTGGAGGGATCTTGGTGGGTGCATCTCGGAGGCCGCTTGGGCCTCCCTTGGCGTGCCTGCTCTCTCCTCCTCCTCCTCGTCGTCCTCCTCCTCCTCCTCCTCCTCAACGTTCTCCTCCTCCTCCTGCCTTTCCGCCGGCTCTCGCTCCTCTCTCCGTGCCTCCTGCCCTGCCCGCCCCCCCTGGCGCTCTCAGCCGCCGCCGCCGGCCGTCCTGGCTCCGCGGGGCGCCGCGGCGCCGCTGCCGCGGCGGGCCTGACGTGAACGCTCCCGTGCTTCCAAAGGAGGGATGATGGGCACCACCATCATCACCGCCATCATCATCACCATCCTCATGATCGCCATCATCGCCATCTCAATCATCATCATCATCATCATCATCATCATCATCATCACCATCATCATCATCATCATCGTCATCATCATCATTCCCATCACCATCACCACCATCACCATCATCGCCATCATAATCATCGTCATCATCATCATTATCATCATCTTCATCATGACGATCATCACCACCATCACCAACACCATCATCGTCATTATCGTCGTCATCATCATCGCCATCGTCATCACCATCACAATCATCATCGTCGTCGCCACCGTCATCATCACCACCATCATCACTACTACCACCACCATCACGCCATCAACATCGTGATCCTCCTCCTCCTCCTCATCATCATCATCATCATCATGATCATCGTCGTCGTCATCATCACCATCATTATCAATATCCGTCATCGACACCGCCTCACCGCCAACAACAACCTTGTCATCACCATCACCGTCATCATGATCACCACCATCATCAGCATCATCACCAACATCATGATCATCACCATCGTCGTCACCATGATCATCACCACCATCGTCATCACCATCATCACCAGCATCACCATCATCATCATCATCATCATCATCATCATCATCGTCGTCATCGCCGTCATCATCGCCACCATCAACATTATTATAACCATCATCACCATCGTCACCATCATCATCACCGGCACCACCATCAACATCACCTTCACCATCGCCACCATCATGATCACCATCAGCATCAGCATCAGTATCACCACCATCATCATCATCATCACCATCATCAAAAACATCATAATCAACCCAAGACCTCCAGCGCCACGATCAAACGCACGACGATCGCTCTCCACATTCAGCCCACGGCGTTTGATTGTCCCCATATCCCAAGTAGGGGCCCTTGTTATTCCCATGTCCTAAGATGGGCTTCTTGTTGTCACTTAGACGGCTCCAAGAACAACCTTCCTCCTCCTCACCTCTTCCTCTTCCTCCTCTTCCTCAACCAGAGTGGCTCACTCACACTCAAGCTCATTTATACTCAATCATATTCAGATTTGCCCACACTGAGACTCACTCACACTCGGACTCTCTCGTACACTGACTCGCTCACACTCACATCCATTTACAATCAGACTCACTCACTCACTCACACTCCTCAGTAAGCTCAGCAGGCGCACTCACGCTCAGACTCACTCACGCTTAGACTTATACTCACTCAAGGACCCAATCACACTCCCACTAACTCACACTCACATTCTTTTCATGCTCAGGCTCAGACTCACTCATACTCATTGGTGGTTCAATGCTCACCGCGATACATCAAGCAAAGCATTTGGGCACACCGAAGGAGGCGCACCAGGGGTGGGGATACTCCCGGATTCGCGCCCAAATTGTGGGTATGTCTCAGGCGGTTTGCCTGTTTGCGTGCCTCAGATCCTCTGCTTTCGGAGCAGATCCGGAGGATGTCTCAGGCGAGGCGCTAGTTTCAGCATTCCTAAAGGGGGCGCCATGGGTGGGGACACTCCAGGATTCGTGCCCAGATTGTGAGGACGTCTCTGTCGGTTTGCCTGTTCACATGCCGAATAACCCCTGCTTTCAAAGCAAGATGTGAAGATGTCTCAGGCGCTTCACCTGTATCTGCTCCCCAGGCTTCTTCCTCTTTGGTGGTCCAATGCCCACCGCGACATAACATGCGTGGCACTTGGGCAGCCCAAGGCTGAGCCGCCACGTGGGGGACACTCAGGGTTCGCGTCCAGTTATTCGGGATGTCTCAAGCAATTTGCCTGTTTCTCCGCCAAAACTTATCTCTTTTGGTGGTCCAGTGCGCACCGCGACATAAGAGGGTTGGTACGTGGACGCCAAAAGAGGGGGGCGCCAAAGGTGGGGAGACTCTAGGGTTCGTGTCCAGTTTGCGGGGGCGTCTCAAGCGGTTTGCTTGTTTCTGCCCCCCCAAGACTTTTCGTTTTTGGTTGTCCAGTGTTGCACACCGCGATTTAGCAATCGTGGCATTTGGGCACCTCAAGGCGGAGCCGCTAGGGATGGGGACATTTCAGGATTCACGCTCAGATCGGGCGGATGTGTCAGGCGGTTTGCTTATATCTGCCCGCCCAGACTTTTCTTTGGACTTGTGTGCTCCTCATTCACTCAACTCGGACGCGCCCATTCGCACTCGGACTTGCTCGTCAGCACTTTTCTCCCGCTCGAACTCGTTCATCACATTCAGACTCGCTCAAACTCAGGTCCAGTCGTACGCAGACTCGCACGTACTTCCTCGCTCATCTCCAAACTCGCTGAAACTCCGACTCACCCAAACCAAATCACACTCAGACGCGCTCATACACAGACTCACCAGCCCTGAGACTTACTCAGATTCAGACTACATCGCGCCCACAATCATCCATTCTAAGTGGCAATCGTCGCACTTAAGCTCAGACTCACCCACACTCATTCTCACCCACACTTAGACCCACTCGCAGTTAGACTCGCTCGCACTCAGACTCATTCACACCCAGGCCCACTTGTACTCACACTGACCATCGCACCTCAGGCTCGATGATGCCCGGATCCACTCACACTCTGGCTCGCTCACACTCAGATCGCCCGCGCTTACATTCACTCGCGCTGAGGCTCACGCACAATTCGCCGCCGCGATTCGGCCGACGTGGAATTTGGGTACCCCCCCAAGGCGGAACCACCGGGGGTGGGGGCACTTCAAGATTCGCGCTCAGATTGGACGGATGTGTCAGGCGGGTTGCCCGTTTCTGCCCCCCTCCATTTTTCTTTGGACTTGTGTGCTTCCCACTCACGTGCTCACTCACCTCATTCCCTTTTTCACGACTCGGACGCACCAATTCGCACGCGGACTTGCTCATCGTAACCTCTGACTCACTCAGATTCACCCATCACATTCAGACTCGCTCATACTCAGATCCGATTGTACTCACATGGCACGTACTTCCGAGCTCATACTCAGACTCGCTCAAACTCATACTCACCTACACCCAGGCCAACTCACACTCATGCTCACTCGCGTTTAGACTCACGAGCCTTCACACTCACTCGTGCTCAGACTACTTCGCACCCAGACTCACTCATGCTCAGATTTGCACTCGTCGCACTCAAGCTCAGAGCCACCCACACCCACATTCGCTCGCACCCAGATCCACTCGTACTTCGACTCGCTCGCACCCGGACTCAACCATACTCAGACCCGTTCGCACTCACAGTGGCCATATCCATCTATATATGTAGACAGAATCACTCATACTGAAGCTCTATCATACCCTGGCCGGCTCACACTCCGATTCGCGGTGACGCTCGGATCCCCCACGTTCAGATTCACTTGCGCTACAACTCACACACATGGTTACCGCGATAAACCCCGCGTGGAACTTGGGCACCCCAAGTGCCAACAGGCGCCGCGACTGGCACGCCAGCGAGCGGGCGTAGCAATGCCATTCGCGGTTGCCTGAACTGCCGCGGGGAGAACGGCAAGAGGACGCTCCCATCGCTCTTCCACTTGTGTGTTCCCTCGTCTCTCCTGTAAGATTTCCGGAGGAGGTGCAGTCGTCGCTGTCGACGTCGTCGTTATTGCCTGCGTGTCGTCTTCGCTGACTCGCTCTCACACCCAGATGCTTATGGACAGGAGTGTGAGATGCACATATGAGGATCCCCACGTCGAGTAATTTCTGGGCCCGCCAAGGACAATCAAGACAAACATCCTTGGCACGAAATCGCCGTCACCATCTTCGCCGTCGCCATCACCGTACCAGTCGCCGCCGCCATCGTCATCGCCATCACCTCCAGCATTAGTCGCGGTGGTGCGAGGCACAGACGGCATGGGGAGCACAGTGGCCTGGGTGGCTGGCCCGCCGTGCTGTCATGAAGCCCAGGCGGCGCGTGATTGGCGCCAGCCAGTCCCTCAAGGCCGCTCCGAGTTTCGTGACATGTGCCAGGGGATGTCGGCGGTGGTGGCGCCACCCCCGCCGACGGCCCTAGATCGACCACCCCCCGCAACGGACAGCCATTGCGCGCCCAAGGCGCTCCAACACACACCCACACCCACACCCACCCTCCTACCCACCCACCCCCCGACCCCCCACTTCCACCCACCCCCCCTCCACCCACCCACCAACCCACCCACCCACACACCCACCAACCCACCCACACACCACTCACCCATCCCGTCCCCCAATCCCCCCCGCCCGACCACATCCCCCCCACCCACACACACCACCCCCACCCACCCCCCCGCCCCACCCCCCCACCCACACCCACCCCACACCCACACACCCACACACCCACACATCCACACACCCACCACACCCACCACCCACCACCCACCACCCACACACACACACGCACACACACACACACCCACACACCCACACACCCACACACCCACACATCCACACACACACACCCACACACCCACACACCCACCACCCACCCACACACACACGCACACACACACACACCACACACCCCACACACGCACACATGCACACACGCACACACGCATAAACGCACAAACGCACAACCACACAAACACACACACACACACACACACACACACACACACCGCACACGCACACACGCACACACACACACACACACCCGCACACCCGCACACACCACACACCACACACCCACACACCCACACACCACACACACACACACACACCCGCACGCCCAAACACCCACGCACCCACATACCCACACATCCACACACCCACACCCCCACTACCCCACACACACCCACACACCCACATACCCACACACCCAGACACTCACACACCCACACGCCCACACACGCACACACGTATAAACGCACAAACGCACAACCACACCAACACACAAACACACACACACAACCACACACACACGCACGCCCACACACACCCACACGCCCACACACCTTCACACCCACACAC